AAGACCATAATTCTGGGCTTTCACCATTTTTTTTTTCATAATCCCAAAAATCAGACTGAAGGCAGCCCTGCCAGTAGACTGTGCTCCATGGCCACCGTGCAGCCCCGTGGGTTGTGCCAGCCAGGCGGCTCTCCGGGTCACCTGCTTCGCCTTCATGCGTCACCAGAGTTGGGTACTCTACATCAGAAATGCAGGAGAGAGCTTCCCTCCCCCACCAGCGATATCCGGGAGCTCCTTGGATTACCTCCCAGGGCCTGGGTCTGCAGACTGAGGGTCACAGTGTGTTACGAGCCCCCGGGAATACATTTCAAGTGGGATGGAATGGAGCGCAGAGGGCCACATGTGACCATGGAGGCGAGGACTGTGCAGGAGCATGGGGCCAGGGTGGCCCAGCCTCTGGGTCTCTGCAGCTGTACAGCTCCTTATGTCAGTTTCGGCGCAGGACTCCATGCAGCCCTGCTCCTGGGGGGCTGGGATTGCAGTCCACGGCTCCTTTCCCCTGTCTCTCTGCCACTGAGACACTAAACAGAGGGATTCCAGGAAGAGTCACTGCTCCCCGAGCCTCACGTTGACAGCTCTGTCCACCCTGTGAGCCACCACCCCATGTGCAGGCAGGGAGCCCTGGGACCCGCAGAGCTCCGGCCTCACTCTGAGGCACACCGCACCCTGTCTGCTGCAATCCGGCCTTCAAAGCCCCTCTGTTAGCAGAGCCTGTGCCAGTGCTCTCGTAGGTAGAGGAATGGAGTACGAACTGCAGGGTAGAAGGCCAGAAGCCTCGGAGGAGAACCGTGACCCTGCATGCAGGGAGGCGCGGCGCAGACCACGCTACTGCCTCGCCCGAGTCTTTTAATTTTAGAACCAAGACCTACGTCTTAGAAATGAGGCTCCTTGATATTTTCACTTCCATTTGTCTTTTGTTTTAACCTTAGAAGTTATGCATGGTGCTTGCTTCGGCAGCGCATATACTAAAATCAGAACCATATGGAGATTAGCGCGGCTCCAGTGCTAGCGTGAAGCATTCCATAATTTGGCTCCAGCAAAAGAAGAAAGAAGTTATGCTGCCTGGCGCTGGAAGTAGACCCTGAAAGATCTCCAGCCCACCCCGTTTCACAGTTGTGTTCCTCCTTGCACGCTGATGAGTTTGTTTTAGTAGCACATCCCAAATTGTTAAAATCAGTAGGTCAGGCAGACACAATTACAGTGGGTACTTTAGAAGATTGTAAACACAGAATAAATTTCAGCCTCATGTAAATGGGTGTGATTTCCATAATGAAGCCACTATTGTCACTGGTGCATAGCTTAAAGGCTGCAATTACAAAGCAAACAGATACTAGAGCACTCCGACTTCTCAAAAAATGGCAATTAGCTTCATTGAAATCATATTTTCCACTTAAAGAGATGGGATATATTCTCAATGGAATCTTCCAGCTTCCTGACTTCTTTCTGGGTGATCGTAGTACTAACGGCCACTTTTCTCTTCTTTTTTTCCTTTCTACAAGTAATTTCTGGTACTAAAACCATCTCAAACTACTTTGTTTATCTCATTAGTGAGTCCGTGCTAATTTACGTGTTTTAGTTAGGTGTTTTGATGGCTTTTCTCCCTGTAGTGGCACCTCATCCTAACAAAAGCCTGGCTTAGTTCCGGCGAGTCCTTTTTCTTAGTTGTAGTCAAGCGGAAGTAACATGAAATTGAATGGTACTGTTCAGCATTATCAGGTGCATCCTCGGTGTCACACAGCCACCGCCACCAGCAGAGTGTCCTACCGGTTCTCATCTGAGCAAACAGAAACCCTAAATCCAATAAAGAATAACCCGCCGCTGTCCCCTCGGGTCTCAACTGGAACCCTCTGCTTGGCTCTGCTCCATGCATTTGCATATTCTGAGCCCCTCAGTAAAGGAATCGTGAGCCCTGTTGTGTCCAGCTTGTTGTGTCCAGCGCTTCACTTAACAAAACGCGCCCAGGGCTCATCACTGCAGGGCCCGGATCAGACTCGCACCCTTGCGAGAGGCTGTGCTGCTGCTGAGCTGAGCCCGGCCGCAGCCGCATGCCAGAGGCTAGGCCGTCTCAGTCCTTCCGCGCAAAGAGAGGCTGGTGCTGCCCTTGCGGCGAGTCTGTGGCCATCTGTGGACGCCTTGTACTCTGCCCGTCCACTCATCTGTTCGTGGATTTTTCCTTGGCACTATGAGGTGGTGTGGCGGTGTCAGCTTCCCCCCGCAATTAGCTTTCTGGGTCACCTTCCTAGCAGTGGATTCTGCGTCCAGCGGCAATTCTGTACCTGACTTGGGCCCCACCAAGCGCTTCCCCACCTCCCGGCCAGGCTGCAGGGCCATCTCCACCCTCGGTGCTGGCTGCCAGCTGCTGCGCACCCCCAACGCGCGCCTTGGTGTGTAGCTGACTTGCTGGTGGGAGGGGGCTGGGGCCTGGTGGGGAGGTGGCCGCTAGCTGGGGCCCTGCCCGCTCCTCCCTTGTCTCTGCTTCCTGCTGCCCTGCCACGAACAGCCCTCCTCACTGGCCTCTCTGCCACACCGCCCCACCCTGGAGGCAGCTGGCTATGGACTGAAATAGGAGCCAGCATAAACTTCTCCTCCCAGCAGTTGTGGGCCTCATTGTTTTGTCCCAGCAATGAAGGAAGTAGTAGGATCATCTCCCTTCTACTCTCTTACCATCTTTTATAGATACTACTTGTGTTTTACGGAGAATGTGGATATTAGTCTTTCTGAGTCAGGCTTATTTTGCTTAGTGTGATAATCTCCAGATCCATCCGCTTTTCTGCAAATGAGAAGCATTCATTTTTAGGACACAGCAATACTCCACTGTGTGTACACAACACATATTTTCTATCGGCTCATCTTCCCATGGGCAGCTGAACTGGTCCAAATCTTGGCTGTTGTGTGTGTGGTGCTGCAGTAAACATGGGCCATGTAGGGGACCAGGGAGATGGCTCAGTAGAATAAGCGTGTGCCTGGCAAGCGCAAGGGCCTGAGTTCAGTCCCCAGTTCCACCAAAAAAAAAAAAAAAAGAAAAAAGGATAAGCATGGACGTGTAGGTCTCCATAGTATGTTGTCTGTATTCCTTCAAGTCTGTACACAGAGTGATATAGGTAGGTCAAATAGTAGTGCTTTTGTCAGTCAGGAGCCAGCCTGAGAGAGACAGGTGCAGCCCCACAGGAAGTGCCAGAACCTGAGTGTGTGGAAGGCCCTGTACGCAAGGGGTGCGGGCAAGGGCACGCTGGTCACACGGGAGCTGACCAAGCGGAAGTAAATTAAGAGTAATGAGTAAGCATGGCAGCTCACACCGATACTCCAGGACTCTGGAGGCTGAGGCAGGAGGATCACAAGTTTGAGCTCAGCCTGAACAGCTTAGCAATATCACAAGACTGTCTCAAAATAAAAAGGTTTGAGGATATAATTTAGCTCACTTCATACTGGAAAAAAAAAAAAAAAAAAACCAGAATAGACAGAGACAGAAACAGATTTCTCACCGAAAGATAAAGCAGTTATAAAATACAGAAGGGAGAAAACTCGGACAAGCTGATGGTGTTGGGCTGAAATTGGAAGTGTTGGTGCCAGCGCATCCCAGACGTGGTTGGGAGCGCAGCGGCCTGCTGAGCCTGTGGGGCCTGCTGCCCCCGAAGCCTGCTGAGCCTGTGGGGCCTGCTGCCCCCGAAGCCTGCTGAGCCCGGCCTCTCCCGTGCACACTCCTCTCAGGACCCCGGTCTCTGAGCAGTGTGCCCCGCCAGGCACTGCTCCCAGTGTTCTAGGGCTTCCCTTGTTCACATCTCCAAACTTTTCCAAGTTCTTCCCCAAACCAGTGTCAAGGATTTCTGAACCACGCAGTCAAACATCATGGCAGCGCCTCTACTCCTTCAGTACCGGTTTTTCTCTTTTGATCATTTTCCTGTCACCACACAATGCCCACCACCCACAAGTTACGGCAGTTTAGTTTGGCTTGCGGTTCTGGAGATTTGGTCGGTGGTAGCCTGCTCCAAGGGAGATGTATCACGGTGGAGGGCGCTGTGGAGCAACACCGGGCACCTAGAGGCAGCCTGGAAGCGAGCACGGGCGCGTGTTGCAAAGGCCCGCCGCGGACGATCTGCGGAATTGAGGTCACACCTCCATGACCCGTCAGCACACCCAGGAGCACGTTTCATGAGTCTGCTAGGCGTTTCTTAACCCAACGAAGCAGACAAGTCAGGATTAATGGTTATGGGGGTCAAGACAGTCAAGGACACACAGAACCATCAGAGATTTCCCGAGCCCGCAGAGGCATGTCAGCTGTGCGAGGCGGGGAACCTGGGGATGGTACTAATGTTTCCATCAGGTAGATTTCTTGATCTTGCGATATTGTGCACATGCAGGAAAATACCTCCGTAGAAGATACACAGCAAAATATTCAGAGAGTAATGTACAGATTGCCTTTCACATGATAAAGTTGCACTTGCAAAGTTATTGTAAAATCCAAACAGCAAAGGAAAGTCACAAGCAGATAGGAGTCATAAAGTCTCTTGTCCCAGAGAAATCTGCTGTGAAAGTCACAGACAAGCGGCATGCACACGCAGCCCTGCTCTTTACCTTCCTAATAAATTCTGGTATCTTCTCAGTCAAAAAAAAAAAAATGTTTAAAAGGGGAAACACCTGTTTCCTGCCACTCAAAGAGTTCTTTATCTGCTTTCCAATTTTAAATGCTTGCTTTGACTGTGCCAATCTGGGGCTCCCGGGCTGCCTGCCTCCACTCTGAAAGCAACGCAGACTCCAGCGGTTCGTGGCAGTTCCTGCATAGGCCAGCAGGTGGCGGACGAGGAGAGGAACAGTTCTCCGGGCCTGGGGACCCCCTCAGAGAGGCAGAGCCCCGTGCAAGAATAGGATTTCCAGGGCTGCATCTACCCTGAGCCCTCAGACATGGAAAACCTGTTACAAAAAGTAGCAAAAGCACGCGCGTTTTGGCGCGTGACTGTGGGGCGTAACGAAGCTCATAGCCTCTTTGCTTCTGTGATTTCTAGAAATCCCGCTGATTTTGTATCTCTTTGCCCTGATTTCTGCAACATGGCTCTGGGGAGGCCTGCACGTGGCCTACAGACGCTTCTGGATGCAGGTCCTCTTCGTCATCTTCAACAGTCTTCAGGTAAGCCTCCAGGGCGCCCTCTTGACCCCACAGCCACGGGCGCGGGGGTGCAGATCCGGGTCAAGTGCGGGTGGATAAACACACACACACACACACACACACACACACACACACACACACACACACGGGCATTGCTTGGGCTGTGGGCTGGAGCCCCTGGTGTTGGAGATGCCCCGGAAGCCTGACCTGGTCTTCACTTGGGGAGGGAGCACACACCTTTTTGCTCTGTATTTTGATAGCATCCCAGGAATTACGAAAGCACCCTCCTTCAGTGGAGTAGGTAGACTCTGCAGCTGGGGACAGCAGAGGACTGGGGCACA